AAGGTTTAACCAACAAGACTACATTTTGGAACAAACAAAATCAGGTTCACAACAGTCTTGAGATGAACCTGCTTTGAAATTAATTTTATTATAAAATATATTTTAAATGCAGATACAGGCTATTTACTATATTGTTATAAATGAAGTAAAAAACAACTGCATTTCAAAACTGGTCTTAAAGAGGAAAATTATTAAAGGCAAGTAATTCACGTGGTATATAGTATTAGATAAAACAGTTCCAAAAGTCAGAGTAGACTGGTGAACTACACAAACTGTTATTTAACATTTAAGTGAGACAGCAGTAACTTCTGTTTTAATGCATAAAATAGGGAATTATCAATTAGTATGCTATCACTAATATTCTTGGAAGATCTACCTGCTCTTTTTGAAAGATCAACTGCTTGTTAACTAAAATTAAAGAGAGCTATCTATCCACTAACTTACATCCTTTTAGTCTGAAGGAATATCGAATCTTTTCTTCTAACAAAGAGCTAGACTAAAGGAAAAATACACATTACTGTAAGGATACAGCATGCATTCTTTTTGAATATAAACCCTGGTGTCCAAGTCATTTGAAAATGGCAGACATTGGCCGGGCGCGGTGGCTCAAGCCTGTAATCCCAGCACTTTGGGAGGCCGAGACGGGCGGATCACAAGGTCAGGAGATCGAGACCATCCTGGCTAACACGGTGAAACCCCGTCTCTACTAAAAAATACAAAAAACTAGCCGGGCAAGGTGGCGGGCGCCTGTAGTCCCAGCTACTCGGGAGGCTGAGGCAGGAGAATGGTCTAAACCCGGGAGGCGGAGCTTGCAGTGAGCTGAGATCCGGCCACTGCACCCCAGCCTGGGCGACAGAGCAAGACTCTGTCTCAAAAAAAAAAAAAAAAAAAAAAAGAAAATGGCAGACATTAAGATGTGAAAATAAAAGAACATTCTCTAAGAGTTTACAGTGCTTAATAAGTAACTTAACCACAGATGGATCTTCTGAAAGACTGTGCATACAAAGATAACAGAAATATTTTCAATTTATCAGTTCTAGGATTGTCACAAAAACCACCTGCATCAACAAATCAAACTTTGCTACTGATTTAGATATCTCTACCATGTAACTTTAACTTAGTTATAAATGCAATGTCAATGTTTCTCAAAATGCAGACTACTCCAGCATTTGGCCCCACCCCAAATCTGCTGAATCAAAATTCCAGGGGCAACCCCAAGGAATCTGCACTTTCAGTAACTCCCTCAGGTGATTCTTCATGCACACTAATGTTGGAGAACCACATCTTTCTTGCGAGATTTATAACCAGAATTTGGATTTCAGGAACTAAAATCTCCTCATTTGGAACTTTTTAAACTAAATTTCATTACAGAACAAATCAGTATTTCAAAGAGATTTAGGTAATAAACATGTTATAGCATAAATACAAGTGCATAAAAAGTTACAGCAGAAATTTAAAGAAGAAGCCTTTAGTATAGCACATTTTATTTTTATCCAAGATTTAAGACACCCCTAGACCAACAGTTCTTTGAACTTAAAAAAAAATCTACAATATTAAAAGTACAGTATTTCAGATATGTTCACATTCACCCAGTTGTTAAGTAAATCAAAATACAAACTATGTGCATTACACCAAATATAAGTAATGATTAAATTAATAAAGCTCAACCCAAACAAACCTATTCATATTTCTCTACTGAATTTACTCTGATCAAAACTGATTTTCCATACATAAATTTCATAAACTTACATAAGCATGTATAATGAGAAGAGCAATGAGCAAAATCTAGAAGCCACCTAAAGTCCAGTTTGGGCTAAAAAAGCTGCTAGCTATATGACCTTAGGGCCTAGACAAATCACTTTATCTACCAGAAGAAAAAAAAAAAAAGTACAACTGTCTACCTTACTCACCACACAAGATTATTGTGAGAATCAAATGAGGTCATATGTAAATACATTCTGAAAACTGTAAAGTAGTTAATAATAATGCCTGTGATTTCTGAAGACAGCAAAATTTGAGAGACACTATCTTTGGGTACCTGCTGTAAAATACACAAACTATCACCAGAAAAAGTAAAATGTATATGCCACTAAAGAATCAATGAACAACATAAAAACTGACCGTTCAGATTTAATTAGATACTGGATGCTACTGAGTATACAGTATTCTCAAAATTACAAATATAAAAATTCTATTTGATTACCTGTCCTATGTCCCCATTTATAACAGATCCATTTCTTGTGTTAAGATATAAATGAAATTTGATGGACCACGAGAGTTGGTAATTGTCAAAACTGGCCAGTAAGTATATCATTCTCTCTACTTTCTCATGTTTGATAATTTCTATAATAAAAAATTTTAACAAGACAATAATATATGTGGTATGTATAGATAACATTTCTAAAAGCTAAAAAGTGAATTTTTTAAAGTTATTTATCTTTATGAAAATTATTCCCATAACTATTGTATGTTATTTTCCCTGCAATGTCACCGCAGATTCTACATAGTCCCCAATAAGCTACTATTAGTACCTTTATTACATATCATGACAGCTAATAGAAAATAATTATTCCCTTCCAACTAGTCGATACTATTGCCCGAGATGCAAAAACTTAAACCTTTGTTTCTGCTTTCTGATCCTCAATCCTTTTACTGTTCTTTGCTCATTCATTACAAAATTCCAGAATAAAAAAGTGAAAACATCAATTTTGCTGTATTCATGTGTAAAATGTAAGAGGAAAAAAAGCAAATTTTATTTTGTTCAGTATTACAAAAGACCAATAGTTGTAAGTGGCCGTTCCTTTTAAAACTCATTTCCCATGGTAAGAGACTGTTTCATCTGAAATGAAGTTAACATGTCTGTCAGACAAAGGAAATGAGTAAATCTCACTCTAAAATGAAGGATTCTATCAAAGTATATATAACAACATATAATTACTCTGCATGCATTAATCTAATAGCTCAAATAATATCCTTTATCCTGGGGCCATATTCCGTAGTCTGACAGAGAACACACAGCAGTAAGGGCATAAAACACCCTTCATCTCAAACAGATTTTTCGGCTAATTTTAGTTTAATAAAGACTTATCTACAGCTCAATGGCCAATGCTTTACATTGTCTATAGCGAAATTACAAGTGTTGAATGAAAACTTAAATGCAGATAGAAAGGCAATAACATTTTGTGGTTTGTAAGTAAGACTATATGTAATAATATCCATATCTTAATTAATTACATGGGAGCTAAATTCCCTTTCTCATGTTACATCAAAAAAGGAGCCTGTGCCTAAAGGGACAGCGTTCCTCATATTTATGATCTGGGAAGGAAGGGGAAGGGAAAGAAATCTCAGCTGTCACTACAGTATTTGTTTTCAAAGTATTAAAATCTCCATTTATTTTTATATGAGATGCACCTGAGAGCAGCAAGGTACACAAACCACTTTTTCTAACACGGTCTTTATTAAACTTTGAATATAAGTACACCTGCTCGAAGTGTTCATTTGCATTATTTAAGAACAAGCAACTGTAAAACAGTAAAATCACAAAAGGCAAGCAGTTGGAAGACAACAAAAAAGAATTACTATAACTGATCCTGCGTGTTTATTTCAGAATCTGTTAATAGGCCTACAACCAAAAAAAAAAAAAAATTGTAAAGCCACTGTCATGCTGGTAGGTACCTTTATTTGGTGGCAATGGCTAGTTTAAACCACCTATTAAAAGCAGCTTTTACTTTCCTTCTTTTACCAAGAAGATCCAGATGATCAATATTATTATAAACACAAATCAAAACTAGTTTCTCATCTCATCTCAGAATGCTAAAATCCCAAGCTTCAATTAAAAAAATATGATTTCCCATACAATTGCAGAAATTTCTCTCAAGAGTGAGAAATGAGAGAGAATACAGAAAAATGAAGACAATGCCCCCTTATACGTCAAAATGGGGATGCCAATAATAGCTGCGATAAAAATCAAGAAGGTGTACCTCGAATTTTCACCATTTTAATAAAAGAAAATCACGAAATTTTAAATTAAAGGTGGCGCTCTGTCCTCAACTCACCCGAATGTGACTCACTTTTGCAGACTATATGGTAGGAAATAAGTTACTTTTCAAAGATCTTTGCAGTTACACCCAAGCCAAAATCAGGACAGAGATCCACCCTTAATTACAGCAATTTAACTGTCTTATCTTAAAGCAAGGTAAAAACTAAAACGTCCTCCTGAAATCACAGCTAAATAAGCCCATTTTATATACTAGTTATCAAAGGTTCCCAATTTTAAAAAAAATGTTTCTATTTACCTCAAATGTGAACTCACCAGGAGAATAAAGAAAAAGAGAGGGGGAGGAGGAGGACCCAAATGAAACGCACAAGTACAAAAAGCAGATTCTCCTCCAATCCCTCTTAATTCCCCCAATCCGCCCCTGCCACACACAAGGACAGGGAGTCTCGGGAAGGCTGGCATCGGGGCAAGTGGTGAAGGCCCTCCATTCACTCACGTGGGCCACCATCCAAAGGGTTACACACCCTCTGCCAGATGAGAACCTCATACAAACCAGGCCCTTACAAGTACTTATTATAAAATACACCCACGCTGAACAAGAGCTTTATTTTAAAATAAGACTGTCCTCAGGTGGGGGAGGTTAAACACAACAAAGGCTTCCATGTTGAAAGGCAGACAAGTTCAGATATATGCATATACCTACACACGTATGAAAAAAATCTATGTAGCTAATTTATCACTAACAGCAATCGATACCAACAGAAGCCATTAGATTATTAATAAACCAAGAAAAGTAGCGGGCACAGAAGCGAAAGGTGGCTGTCTGCAGCGCTCTAACCCAAGGAAAAGGTAAATACCAGCCTGTCGAGGAGGGTCGAGCCCTCCAAGTATGGGCAGACCCCCTTAGCCCACCCGGACGCCCTGCCCTCCCCTCCGCGCCAAGCACCGCACAGGGTGCGAGCACTCCCAGCGCTGCGAGTCCCGCAGAAAACTGGTGAATGAAATGCGCACAGAGACCAACCTGGCTGGTGACCGCGGCGCAGAACCAGGGGTCGCTAACCAGCGTAGCCACAGGATTCTCCCGCAGGATGGGATAGAGAGAGCACACCACCCACCCCACACACCCCTGCCACTGGAACGCAGTCCTCCCCCAGACTCCTTCCCCAAAAAGGGAGGTGAGGGCGCAGGCTTTTTTCTCTTAAACTAAGTGAATAAACACGAATCGGAAGCAAATGTGAACATCCTGGGGGTCCAGACGGAAGGCGTGAGGAGAAAAACCAGGCGGCTCTCCAACTCCCGGGGAATCACCGTCCTGACACGCCAACAATCAACTACCCGGGCCAGGGGCCGACTGGGGCCCCCGCTCCCCTCCCGCAGTGCGTCTGGGGGGCCGAGGCCAAGAATTAGAGGGGTGACCCTCCCGAGGCGCGGGGAAAGGGAGTGCCGGGCACGGTGCCCTCAAGGTCACCACGCGCCGTGGCGGGGGCGACCGGTGGCGGGATGGGCCGTGGCGCGGCCGAGACGGCTCCGTGAAGCCGAAGACCTGCGGGTATGGACCAGAAGCCCCAACGAGCCCCATCCCTCGAGCCCGGAGCAGCGACTCCGGGACTGACCCGGCGCTGAGGTGCACGGCTGGGGTGCACGGCGAGAAACCCGCTCACCTTTACAATCACCCGACAAGAGGCAACCTGCGAGGGGCCCCGGCCGCCCCCGCCAGCTTCTCCCGAATCCGGCGCAACCCGCCGGGCACCCAGCTATCAGGACCCCCGCCGCGACGCCAGACCTCCGTGCTCCGCCCGGCCTCCCCCGCAGGTGACCTGCCCCGCCGCCCCCGCCGCTGGCGGGCGGCGGCCGCCACTCACCTCGCCCGGCAATGGGAACCATTTTCCGAGGGGGAAGGAAAGGGAGGCTGCAGGAGGGTCGCGGAGCGGTGAGGGGCAGTGGGAAACGCAGAGGATGGGGGCTCTGTCCTCAGCGCGGTCAGCAGTCGGCTCGCACGGCTCGGGGCGCCACGCGGAGGTGCAGCTGCACCTCGGGGATCGGGCGGCCAAGGAGCCGAGAGGCTCGGCGTCCACCAGCCGGGGCTCCCTACTCACGCTGCACTGCGAGGAGGCGGCGGCGGCGGCGGCAGCGAAGGAGGAGGAGGCGGCGCCCGGCCGTCCCCGCCCAGAGCCCGGCAGCCACCGAGTGGCCGCCCGCGTCCCCCCAGGACCCGCCTCCTCGGCTCCGCAGAGCCGCACACAGGGCGCGCCGCGCTCGCTGGGCACGGGCAGCTCAGCCGGCCTCACGCCGCCGTCCGCAACAGCAGCCGCGGGCGGGGTGCAGCCCCCTCCGTGAGCGCCGCAGCCCGCCCCGCTCTGGGCGGGGCCCGCGGGCACCGGAGAGCGGACGGCCGAGCACGAGGGGGCTGCGCGCAGCTCCGGGCAGGGACCCCGTCTGCACCGGGTGGCCAGCAAGATTGCCGGGGTAGGCAGGGGGAGGAGAACGCTCACCCGTTCCGGTCTGGCGCTCCCTTCTCTCCACACCCACACGCCTCCCGCTCCACGCTGGCGGCACAGCTGCTCCCGCTGCCACAGCCGCCACCGCCGCCGAAGCTCGCGCCGCCGCCGCTGCCGCCTTGGCTGGGCGCGGTCACGTGATGCGGTCCGCGGGGACCCTGGGGGCGGGCGGGTGCGCGCGCGCGCGCGCGGAGGAAGCGCGGCTCGCACCGGGACTGGGAGCGGAGCGGCACTGGGAGGGCGTTTAAGGGGAGGACCCGGCGAGCGCGCCCCCGGCTGGCGAGCGCGCGCCCGGCTATTAGAACTTGCCGCGCGGTCGGGAAAGGGTGGCCGGACTGAGGGGCGGGGGTGGGGACTTGCGCCTCCGCACGCCCCTCCCTCTCTTCCTTCCCCTGAGCGCCTCGGCTAGCTGCTGCCCCCGCCCCCTCCAGCGCGCCCCTTCCCTCCTGCCGCAGCCTGCGATTGGCTGAGAGGCTCTGACGTCCGTGTTTCCATGACGTGTTGGTGCGGGAGGGAGCGGCGGGGGAGGAGGGGGTGGCTCAGGCGCGCGGGGAGGTGACTCCGTCAGTCACAGCTGCTGTTTCGGCGCGGGGCCGGGCCGCTGCCGCGACATGTGGAGGCAGGAGAGCAATGATTGCGGCAGGAGAAGTGCGGGCGCCCTTCACCTGGGCCCCCTCCCGAACTGCCCCCGGGCCCGTGCCCCTCCAGGGCCCAGGAGTGAGCCAGCGGGAGGGCTAGGGCGAGCGCTCCTGGCGAGGACAGATTAAGGCGAACCCCCAGTCAGCGGACGTTTGAGCGGCTCCTTGCCGCGTCTCTGCCCCCACTCCAAAACGGACTCGACGCGTGTCCCGGGCCGTGACGCACGCACCGGACGACAAAAGTGCTGCCCGGCTCGCTCCCTCTTTGGGGAAGAGAGCTCACTCCCCATGCGGGCGCGGGGCACCCCACCTCTGTTCCTGCCGGTCGGGTCCGCAAACACCGGGGATCCCGGCTGCAGCGCCCAAAGGGTTAACGCAGGCGTTCGGCCAGTGCAAACCGGCCTCACAGGATCCGCGCTTAAAATCCGGGTGTTTTCATTTTGGGTTTGCTTTTTCTACTATGCCAAGCTGATGGCTCTCTCTTAATGCTCTTGTAACATCTCAACCCTGCACCCATCTTTCCTGAGGGGAAAAGGAAACGGGATAACTTGCGGTATTTCGATGCTCAAAGGTAACCGGCGGCTCTGCTCCAACCTTCAAGAGATTTTGCAAGTTGAAAAACAAAGAAAATCATCCTTCGTAACATCTACTTAAAACAAAAAAAAAAGCAGGTTTTCCTTCTTGTACACACATATACACAGTAAAGATGTGTATCTTACCTTAGATACCGCACTTCATCTTCGTCTAATCTTTATTTGAACTCACCGTCGCCACTGGCCCAGAGACCTTGTTTATTTTCAGTATCACTTAATCAGAACAAAAAGATAAGTTCTGCAATATTCTTTCTCTTAATTCCAGAATTGGAAAATTAATATTTGTATAGCCTCCTCAAAAGCATACAGGCAATAGGAAGTATGGTATTATGTTCACGATCTGATGATAGCATTTAAAATATTTTAAAAGCTTAAGACACAAAATGTGTGAAAGAAGTTTAAAAGTGAATAAATCTAAATCAATGCTGTTGTAAATAATTTTTTTTATCAGTTTATGTATCTCACTAGGCTAGACGTTACCAGCCTTCTGAGCTGTGCCCTTGATGTGCAAAATGAACGAACATTTGACAGGATAGCATTTTTCCTCTCTTCAATCACTGATAGAGGATTGGTTAATGTGGTACAATAAATAGCCCTTCCTGACACTATTTCAAATCTTTTTAACAGAAGAATAACCTAAATTTCATCTAAGTAAGTTTCAGTATTATTTCCCCCTAAAATATCTTTCAAAACGATTCAGACATTTAAGAATCACTGGCTTTTTTCCAACTTTTCCTCCAAGGAAGTCACAATAGAAGTTGAATTATGTTTCTACTTTAATCAAGAATTTGACATTAAAGTAATATATGAATCATTTCTATAGTACACTAGCAAAATGGGTAATAGATTAAACTAGAATTTGGTCACTTTGTGGGTTTGTTCCATTTCCGGATTATAAAATGAGTGCTCGTAAAGTGTTGTGGTCATGAAACAATTATTGAGCATCTTTATTTAAGAACATGATTCAATTAAGTTTTCATTTATATCGATAAATCTATAAATTGAAACATACGGAATATATATTCATGTATATCCATAAATGAAAACGTGTGTGTGTGTGTATCCCAGGACATATTTGTATGCATTTTAATGAAATGTGAGTCATATGCAATGACAAACTTTTACTGTCATAGTCAAGAAAATTGTACTGTAGTTTGGTTTTTATATTTTTCTTCAAATAGAAAATAAAGGGTGAAAGGAATATAGAAATAACTGTTCACATTACATTAAGGAATTCAATTTCTTTCTCTACAGACTTAGTACTAAAGCCTCTTTCATACATATTTTTCAATGTAAAAATCAAGAAAATATTGCATTGCTTACTGTTTCCTTGAAAAAAAATTGAAATATCTGAAATCAAAGATGCCACTGTATATAACAGTATCCTCTTAATCTTAGACCTAATTTATCCCATGGATTTAACTGATCTAGAGATATATCTATGCATAAGGAACAATATAATAATACAGTTTACTTAGGAAATAATATTTTAAAGTTCTTTTAATATGCATTTTAGCTACAATGCAAAACTTATAAAAGTATTTATATCCAGTCAGGCGCAGTGGCTCACGCCTGTAAGCCCAGCACTTTGGGAGACCGAGGAAAGCAGATCACGAGGTCCGGATATCGAGACCATCCTGGCCAACATGGTGAAACCCCGTCTCTACTAAAAATACAAAAATTAGCTGGGCGTGCTGGTGCATGCCTGTAATCCCAGCTACTCAGGAGGCTGAGGCAGGAGAATCACTTGAACCAGGGAGTCCAAGGTTACAGTGAGCCGAGATCACACCACTACACTCCAGCCGGGCGACAGAGTGAGTCTCAGTCTCAAAAACAAAACAAAACAAGTATTTAAACCCTATGACAAGTTACTATTTGGGATGTTAACATTAAAGAGAGGCTGCAGATTCAAAATAATATATTTGGTATTTTTAAGGTATGTTCTTTTTCATGGAGTAAATCTAAACAACTGAGATATTTGCTGAAAAGTTGATCGATTCAAGATATATAACACATGAAGACAGTTTTCTAAAATCCTCAGTGTAATTAAGTTTAAAGAGAAACAACTTTATTCTGTCACATACATCTAGCAATAGGACAAAATAAATACATATCAACTGCAGTGTATTTTATAAAACATATTCTTTCCCCATAAACACATTTTACATATGTGAATGTGTCAGTCCTGATCATTACAGAATCCTAAAGAGGACTGATGCGTACAGGGAGGCAGGGGAGGAGGATATTAAATTTTTCATTTAAAATAGTTGTATATGTTCTCAAATTTCTATTAACCTGAATCACCAGAGAGAGGTGTCAAGAGAAAGATTACTTAGCTGAAACCCACAGAGAACTGTTATCTATTAGTAACAAATTAATTACATTTGCTGAATTAAATGGAGTATAATTATATGTAAGCCTAAAATAAGAATTTCAACTCACATGATGGGAAAATTTTTATAGGTGAAAAATGCAAAATGGTTAGATGTTATCATTTGACAGGAATTATTAGTGCCTACATACAATGTACTCAAATGTTCTAACCCACATAGTATGGTCCTAAATCTAAATTTCAAAGAAGTGAAAAAGACATAGCTCATACCTAAATGTTGAGAAAGTTTTTCTAAGGAGTATTTGGACTTGATTTGTGCCATGAAAGAGATACAGGATTTAAATTAATGCCAAAGATCCGCAATAGTAAAGCCAGGAAGCATACCTGGGAACTAACAAGTTTATCACATTTATTTTTCTATCCTTTTATTATTCAAGAAACGTGTTTACTACCTTTGATATCCCTCACCTCCCTAAGTGGCACTCGTGAATTTTCTCACTAATAGTGGTGAGTTATGATATATCATAATCATCAATAATGGTGAGTTATGATATAGGGTTATGAGGTTTGGGTGAGATATTTATATAAAGTTCTTAACATAGTGCTTGATGTATAGTATATGCTCAATAAATGTCATAATTATTATTCATAAGCATTCTCTACTCTTTATTACCAAGAAGATATAACAACAACAGCAAATTTTACTCATTTTTACTTGTTGATGTATTAGGCCATTCTTGTGTTGCTATAAGGAAGTTTCTGAGGCAGGATAATTTAAAAAGAAAAGAGATTTAATGGCTGACAGTTCTGTAGCCTGTAAAAGCATGGCACTGGAATATGCTCAGTTTCTGGGGAGGCCTCAGGGAGCTTTTACTCATGGTAGAAGGTGAGGCAGGAGCAAGCACATCACATGGCCAGAGCAGGAGGAAGGAGAGGTGCTACATGCCTTTAAACAACCAGATCTCTTGAGTACACACTATTGGGAGGACAACACCAACCTATGAGGGATCTGCCCTCATGACCCATTCATGTCCCACAGGCCCCACCCCCAACAACTGGAGATTACAATTCAACATGAGATTTAGAGGGGACAGTATTCAAACTATATCATTCCACCCTGACCCTTCAAATCTCATGGTCTTCTGACACTGCAAAATATATTCATCTATTGCCAATAGTCGACCAAAGTCTTAACTCATTCCAGCATGAGCTCAATTAAAAGTCCCAAGCCAAAAGCTCATCTAGAGATGAGTTCCTTCCACCTATGAGCGTGTAAAATCAAAACAAGTTATTTTCTTTCAAGATACAGTGGGGGTATAGGCATTGGGTAAACACTCCCATTTGTAAAGGGAGAAACCAGCCATAAGAATGGGGTTACAGGATCCACACAATGAAATCTAACAGGGCAGTCATTAAATCTTAAAGCTTCAAAATAATTCCTTTGATTCCATGTCCTGCATTTAGGGCATACTGGCACAAGGGTTGGACTCTCAAAGCATTGGGCAAATCCACCCCTGTGGCTTTGCAGGGTTCAGCCACCATGGCTGTTCTCACGAGTTGGAATTGAGTGCTTGTGACTTTTCCAGGTGCAGGGTGCGAGCTGCCAGTGGATCTACCATTCTGGGGTCTGGAGGATGATGGTCACCTTCCCACAGCTATACTAGGTAGTTCCCCAGTGGGGACTCTGTATAGGGAGTCAGATCCCACATTTCCCCTTGGCACTGCCCTAGTAGAAGTTCTCCTTGAGGGCTCTGCCCCTGTGTCAGGCTTCTTCCTGCGCATGCAAGCTTTCTCATACATCCTCTAAAATCTAGGTGGAGGCTGCCAAGCCTCCTTCACTCTTTCACTCTGTGTACCAACAGGCTTAACACCACATGGAAGCTGCCAAGGCTTATGGTGGAAGGCTTATACCCTTTGAAGCAGTGGTCTGAGCTCTATCTGGGTCCCTTTGAGCCAAGGCTGGAGCTGCAGCAGCTAGGATGCAGGGGGCAGTGTTCCAGGGCTGCACAGTGCAGCAAAACCCTGGCTCTGGCCCGTAAAACCATTCTTTCTTCCTAGACCTCTGGGCCTGTGATGGGAGGGGTTCCCTCGAAGATCTCTGAAATGCCTTTGAGGCCTTTTTCCAATTGTCTTGGCTATTAGCATTTGGCTCCCTTTTAGTCATGCTAATAACTCTAGCAAGTGGTTGCTCCCTTGAATTCCTTGAATTCCTCTCCTCTTTTACTTTGCCACATAGCTAGGCTGCAAGTTTTCTAAACTTTTATGCTCTGCTTCCCCTTTCAATATAACTTCCAACTTTAAGTCATTTATTTGCTCCTGCACCCAAGGATAGGCTGTTAGAAGCAACCAAATAATTTCTTGAATGCTTTGCTGCTTAGAAATTTCTTCCACCAGGTACCCTAAGTCATTACTTTTTAGTTCAAACTTCCACATACTAGGACATGAACAGAATTCAGCCAAGTTCTTTGCTAAGGCATAATATGGATGACTTTTGCTCCAGTTCCCAATACTTTCTCATTTGCATCCGAGACCTAGTTAGCCTGTACTTCACTGTTCATATGACTATCAGAATCATAACCATTTAACCAGTCTCTAGAGAAGTTCCAAACTTTCCCTCATCTTCCTGTCTTCTTCTGAGCTCTCCAAACTCTTCCAACCTCTGCCCATTACCCTATTCCAAAGCTACTTCCACATTTTCAGGTACCTCTGTAACAATGCTCTACTTCTCAGTACCAATTTTCTGGGTTAGCTTGTTCTTGCTTTGTTTTGAAGGCATATCAAAGACTGGGTAATTTATAAAGAAAAGAAGTTT